GAAGCATATAAAAGTCTGAGACCAGGCTTAGGGGTGAGGAGAACAAATTAGACCAAAGAGAGTCTTCATGGCTCCAAGTGCAGGCCACAAACAGAAGGGAGAGATAACACAAGGAAGATGTCTGTTTATTGAAGGCATCTGGAAACAAAGTTATGAATCCTGGATTTAGCAGGGGTCAGCAAACTGGGGCCAGAGAATATTTAAGATTGTGGCCACATTCTTACCATTTCAACTCTCAACTATGCCACAGTACTTAACTGCTAATGCAGCCACAGTCAATGTGACACGGATGAGTATGGCTGTGTCCTAATAAAACTTCATTCATAAAAATCAGGCAGCCAGCAATGGTGTGCCAAATCCTAACTGTAGTATAAAGGGAAGTCACTACAGGATCCTAAGGGTGATTTTTTTAGACTTTGGTCCAGAGAAGATTCCAGTTTTTGATAAAAGCACCTCACACCAACATATACAGTGCCCAACTCTGTCATGCCTCTATTTAGTAGCTCTGTCACAGATGTACACCAAGTGTCTTTTAGAGATTGGGCACCACAAAAGATTTGTAGTGTCCAAAAGGAAAAGGCAGACAGGACCCTCTTGGCCTGATGTCTGACTTCATGTGAAGCCTCTTGCATTATTTCAGGAAGCTGTGTGGGGAAGATCAGGTGGTAAGGAAGCCCTGCACCTTCTCGAGGGAGCTGACCTGGACACAAGTGCTGGCTCATTAACCCATTTTGGGGGGGTGAGTACTGGGGATTGAACACTGGTTTACCACTGAGCTATATCCCCAGCCTTTTATTTTATTTTAAGACAGGGTTTTGCTAAGTTGCTTAATGCCTAAATTGCTTAGGGCCTTTGCTGAGGCTGGCCCCCAATTTGCAATCCTCCTGCCTTAACCTCTTGAGTTGCTGAGATTATAGGTGTGTGCTACTGCCCCCGGCTAGCTCAGTCTGATCTGTGAATGGTATCATAAGTAGAAGAGAGTATCTCCAGCCAAGCACAGTGGTGTATGCCTGCAGTTCTAGCTACTCAGGAGACTGAGGTTGGACAACTGTTTGTGCCCAGGATTTGAAGGCAATGCAGTAAGACCCCACCTCAAGACAAAAGCAACAAAAAGAGTGTCTCATATTAGCCCAGGTTTCCTCTATTGTAAAAATTTGTTCCTGCTGTATTCTCTGTGCTTTACTAGGCATGGGAATGGTGGGTAACACCCAGCAAAAAAAGAAGGCACAGTAGAAGGCTGTCTTCTAAAAAGAACTTGCATTCTGTGTTCATTAGGCCTCAGCATCTGCCCCAGCTGCACATCTGTTCTTTTCTGAGGACAGTTTGTCTGACAGACCCTCCCACTCTGCTGGGACCAAGCAGGAGCTAATGAAAGAAACATCCCAAAGATGGCTTACGACCTTTCTGTGGCTGGCAGAGGAGGTCAACATAGAAGGACTACTTCAGCTGAGACTGCTTCTAAGGTCCTAGATGCAGCCCAGATGCCACAGATGCTCAATGAATATTTGATGAACTCAATGGAGGAAGTGGCGAAGCCTGAAGCTTTCCCCCAGAATGGGGGCATAAACCAGACACCAGATGTGGGAGTGTAGAGTATCGAGTGTGGACATGGGGCCCTGCTGATGACTTGCAGAGGCCCAAACAGCCTGCAAGTATCAGTGGCAATCAGACACACGCACCAGTCAACCAGATTCTCTTTCCTTAGGACAGATGTATCTGGACTGCAAGCTCTGGCTGCCACCGCCACCAACCTAGTCTAGCTGTTTAGGTGACAAAAGCTCTGGGCTTTCTCTGTCTGGCAGGAGCAGGAAGAAAGGGCTGCTCAGCCTTTAGTTTCTGGTACCAGGGAGGTGTACCCTGCTCTGAATGCGTCTGCTCTGGGCAGATGTTCCTCACTGTTCTTAAGAGGAGGTACAGTGCACTCCCCTGTGGAGTGATGAGCCAGGAGGGTGGGATGGAGCTTTCTTCTCCCAAGCAAGCCTTGTCCACTATGGGGAAAGGATTTCCTAGATGTTGGATATGTCCATATTCCAATGAAAACACAAACACATTTCCAAGGGAAGTAGAAACCACTAGTTATTGGTTGTCATGAATTATTCACAACTACCCTCTTTTCCACATGATGGGGAAAATGGCAGTTGATTGATTTGGACAAGTATTATAGTAACTGACGTGGGTCCGTAAGCCATACCCTTCATGATGGCTTCTACCTCAACTTCTGGAAGATGGTGGCAGGAGCTTCCCGTTAGGACCACCAAGTGCAGAAGGCAAGCCTCATGTGGAACAGCCCCCAGCTAACAGCGAACACTGACCCTGTGGGGCTCAATAGGAAGATGGCTGCTTTTCTCAGGCTGAAAACAGATCCTTGCAATGGGGTATAATTGGGCACTTACAGCCTGAATTTGGTATTTCTTTATTTCTAAAAAACTGAATATTTGTAACAACTACTGGGGCCTTAGGAAAGACACAAAGAAACAGAATATAAACTGTGTGACCTTGAGTAGTTTGTCGTTACTTAGGGAGATGTTTTTAAGACACATTACATGATTTAAATCTAAACTCCAATCATAATGTAAGAAATGTCACAAGGCAATAGACAATTCATGTGAAATGAATGATATGGCTTCTGGGTGTACAGGCCGTCAGAGGTGAAAAACTCCTAGGTGCTGCAATGGCCTAACCAACTCCCCAAAGGAGGCACCAATGAGCTGCTCCTCAAAGGACAGGATGGAGGGAGCGGAGGGAGTGGTCAAAGACATAGACAGAAAGAGCTTAGCCGGGGATTAGCAAATTACAGCCCAGGGGCCACATCTGACCTGCCACAAGTAGAGAACAGGTTTTATATTGTTTATTTATTTATTTTTTTAAAGACAGAGAGATTGGGGCATTTTTTTTGTTGTTGTTGTTTTTAGAGAGAGAGAGACAGAGAATGAATTTTAATATTTATTTTTTTTTTTTAGTTTTTGGCGGACACAACATCTTTGTTTGTATGTGGTGCTGAGGACCGAACCCGGGCCGCACACATGCCAGGCAAGCACGCTACCGCTTGAGCCACATCCCCAGCCCAGGTTTTACATTTTTAAAAAAATTATTTATTTTTTAGTTAAAGGTGGACACAATGTTTTTTATTTTATTTTTAAGTGATACTGAAGATCGAACCCAGTGCCTCATGCATGCTAGGCAAGCACTCTACCACCGAGCCACAACCCCAGCCCCAGATTTTACATTTTTATATGGTTGAAAAATAAAATTCAAATTTCAGTGCTCCCAAATAGTTTCACTGAAACAGACACTCTCACTTGTTACATATCATTTTATGGCTGCTTCACACTATAATGCAGGTAGCTACAACAGAGACCACCTATCCCACAAACCCTAAAATATTTACTCTCTGGCTGCTTAGAAAAAGTTTGCTGATCCTTGGCTGATAATATCAAAGGGTAGCTGGTAAGCTCTGCTGGCAGGGAGTGTTTGCACATAAGAACTGTGGGAGATCATGCAATGAGGGGTGCTTGGGGATTAATTATGAAAGATACTTAAGGACACACTAAAGAATATCAACTCCAACTATTAGGCAAGAGGTTGAAATTATTAGCATGTACATGAATAGTTACATTATCTACGTGCACATGGTACAAAACTACAAAAGGTTCAAAAGTATACTCTGAAGTACACTCATACATTGTTGATGGGACTGCAAAATGGTGCAACCACTATGGAAAGCAATATGGAGATATCTCAGAAAACTTGGAATGGATCCACCATTTGTCCCAGCTATCCCACTCCTTCGTTTATACCCAAAGATCTTAAAATCAGCACACTACAATAACTCAGCCACATCAATGTTTATAGCAGCTCAATTCACAATAGCTCAACTATGAAACCAACCTAGATGCCCTTCAACAGATAAACGGATAAAGAAAATGTGGTACATATACACAAGAAGAATGAAACTGGCATTTGCAGGGAAATGGATGGAACTAGAGAATATCATGCTAAGTGAAATGAACCAATCCCCCAAAACCAAAACCCAAATGTTTCCTCTGATAAGCAGATGCTGATCCATAGTGGGGTGGGGGGATAGGGAAGAATGAAGGAACTTTGGTTTATGTAGAGGGGAGTAAGGGGAGGGGTTGGGTTGTAGGGATGGGAAGGATGGTAGAAAGAGACAGACATTATTATCCTATATACATGTATGATTATACTACTGGAGTGACTCTGAACCAGTACAGCCAGAGGAATGAGAAGGTGTGCTCCATTTGTATACAATGTGTCAAAATACATTCTACTATAAAATGAATAAATTAATTAAAAAAAAAAAGCATACTCTGTAAAAAGAAAGCCAGTCTTGTGGCCTATAGGAAGTCAGGCACTGACAGTTCCACCAAGGTACCTGCTTAAGGTCTATCCATGCTAAGATCCTTCACAGAGAAATTCTTCTACATCCATGAACACAGGTGAGCTCCCATGCTTGTATATACTTTCATTTCAAAACCCCCACAAATGGTAGAATACTAAAAATATACTGTTCTTCACCCTGCATTTCAGTCTTGTGTGTCAGAGTTTGTTCAGTGCCTTCTTCTGAACAGCTGTAACACACGGATGGACCATTTTTTTTTTTAATATTTATTTTTTAGTTTTTGGTGGACACAACATCTTTGTTTGTATGTGGTGCTGAGGATCGAACCCGGGCCACACGCATGCCAGGTGAGCACGCTGCTGCTTGAGCCACATCCCCAGCCCAAATGGACGATTTTTTATGTAAAAAGTTTGAGGAGAGTTCTGAGCTAGAAGCTCAGCGGTATTTTCAGAGATTCTGTCAAGCAGTGGGGGTCCAGGAAAATGAGAGGCAGGAAGGCCAGTCAGACAGTGGATAGACAGATCCAGGTTGTGACAGACAGAACCAGATGCCTGGTTGTGAGGATGGCCTGAACTCCAGAGTGTTCAGGGACATGGTACCTGGGACCCCTCTCCTGCCACCACTCCCCCAGGGCTCATACCTTGGTGGGAGTATCAGGTATGGAAGAGGTGGGAGAACCAGGAAAGGTCAAGACACATTTCTTGCCCAGGCAGCGGCCATGTAATTCGATGTCTTCATAAGGGTTTTCCTTCATTGGTGGATCTGTGGTCAAAGGCAATGGGTCAGGAACCTGGGAAGTTTTCCTCCTCAGAACACTGAGGCTAACATCTTGGCCTCTCCTGCGCTAGCCCTGGTGGGATGTCTGTTGTTTTGCTGCCCATCACCCTTTCTCTCAGTGACAGACCCTGATTATCACTAGGGTAACAACCTGTCCCCTCCCTTATAGCCATGTAAGATTAATTCAACTCCCAGTTTCAGGACTTCAGCACTCTAGGGGCCTCAGACTGCTGCCTCAGTGATGAGTTCAGGTCAGGGTTCGCATCCCAGCCCAAGGCAAACACCACATGGCATTCCCAGACTCCAAAGTGAACAAGGGAGCAAAGCTGGTCTGGCCAGAGTGAACCTTGGGATTTTTGCAAAGACTTGCAAGACATAGGTACTCCTTCCCAGGGGAAGGTATGAACTCCAACGAGCTGTTAGCCCTAATCCTGAGGATGATGGGAAGTCCGCTGAGAATGGAGCTTCTCTGGGAGGTAAGAAATGGAGGAGGAAAAACGCCAATTCTGGTCATGGGAGTCCATGACCTCCCTTTGTTGTTCAGTTGGTGTCCTTGTTCCCTATAACTGAAAGCAACCTCTCAGGCATCCGCTGCAGAAGTCCAGAGTTCATACCCTCCTTCGATTTGGGAAGCTTGCTGCTTTAGAAAACCCCGCCTACACAGCTCAGCTGACTGAGTGCATGCCCCGCCTCTCCTCACATGGTATTTTCTGATACTGGAGACTCCATGCATGCAAGTCTGTGGGCATCTGCCCCACCTGCCTCTCACATACACTCACCTATGGGTTTCTCCCTCTTCCCAGCTCGCTTCCTCTCCCACGGTAAGCAGATACCAGTCTGAGCTCACACCACACTGAAACTGTGATCTTATAGAAGATTACTGAACTCCCCAAACAAACTTTGAATATGAGCCTCACTTTGGAATCTAAGAGAAGTCTTTGGGGCTAGGCCAAAGTTACTCTCCAACAACACATTCATTTAGTCTGTACTCTGATGCCCTGTTAGTGCCATACTCCTGAGTGTCTGAAAAAGCATGCTGGTCTTCAGTGTTTTCTTTCATTCAGTCATCCTTACAATTCAGGGAGCATCTGTAAGGAGCCAGGTCTTTTACATTCTCTCCAGTCCTTAAATAACCTGCAAGGGAGCCATTATCACCCTCACTATTGAGACAAGGGAGCTCAAGTTCAGAGAAATTACGGTATCACCAGTTCAATATCACACAGCTAACAAGGGGCAGAGCCAAGATTTCATTCCAGACGGTGACTCCAGGCCTTCTGTTTTTTGGTCCACACCCTGCCTCCTGTGCGGTTCATGACCAGCCCTTCTTCTCCCTTCAAGCCTCCTGTTCTCACTTATCTCACTGAGGCCCACTCACCCCTCCTGTCTACCTGCTCTCTCATTCATTTGACTACAACTCTGTCTTTGTGTGTGCACATGTGTGTTTCAAGCAGCATCCCCATTTCCTCTCCCTCTTTTTTACATTCAGACTCACAGACATTTGGTCTCTTACCTAGAATGTCTTCATAGACGTTCTCCTCTGATAAAGTGCGTGTGAGCCCCAACTTAGTCTGTGCATACCAGTCCACCCTGTTGTTCTCGCAGGAAGACTGCAGTAAGTCTTCGAACTCATAGGACTTTCTGAATTGTGCAAATGGGAGGGAAAAACCAAGAACTTGAATCAATATAGGCTTCTTCAGAGAATATACACCCCCTTTCTAAATTTGTTCTTAGAAAGCTTTCTATTATTGAAATCAACTGTTTTTACAAAAGTGAATATCCACAAATAAGAAAGGTGGCTTTTGCTTGCAAGAATATTTATGCTATTATGCTAAGTGAAAACAGAAAAAAATATATATACATGTATGCGTATATATACATATACATACACATATTATACACACATATATTTTCCCCAGGTTGCAAATAAACATATCCACATACAATAAAAAGAAAAGACAGAAGTGAAATACAGAGGTGCCACCTTAGGACTGAGGGATGGCTAGTGACCTCTCTGCTCTTTTACTTTCCCGGACTTGAATTTTCTAGTGTTTACGGACCATACATTACTTCAATTAACAGAGAAGCAGTGAGGGTGAGTTCAGAGTAGACCAGAGGCCTAGGCACTGGCTCTTTCTTCTAACCTAAGTGGCAATAGTCAGTATGAAACCCAAGGGCCCACTGAGGCATCCTGTCTTGCCCCTCAGAGAGCTGATCAAAGGGACTGGCTCTCATTTGTGACCTGGCACATACATAGCTTTCTACCATAAAGCACTGATGATTTTTATAACTTTGAATATTTAGGAAAGGTCATATTATGTAGCATGAAAAACTTCAGGCATCTTAGGATCCACAATACCTCCCACCTTTTTCTTCTCTCTCCCACTAGTCTCCAAAGTAACCATAATGTCCCCTCCCTGACAGAACCACCCCCAAGCGGAAATACTGAGAATTTCATTCAGGAAGGACCAGAACACACCTGGTCCTTTCTGCATGAAATTTTAGGTGAACATGCTGTCCACCCACTTTGAGCAGGGCACATCCCCCAAGGTAGCCTTGACTTGGTGGCTTTTGCTTGCAAGAATATTTATGCTATTATGCTAAGTGAAAAACAGTAAAAAAAAAAAAAAAAATATATATATATATATATATATATTTATACACACACACACATATATATATATACATAATACAAATATTTTTCCCATGTTGCAAATAAACATATCCACATAAAATAAAAAGACAGAAGTGAAATACAGAGGTGCCACCTCAGGACTGAGAGATAGCTAGTGACCTCTCTGCTCTTTTACTTTTCCAGACTTGAATTTTCCTCTTCTTCTTACATAGTCCATTTTGTCACAACCCTTCTGTGGCTCAGAAACCCAGCTCTTTTTATTTTATTCACAGTGTCCAGCAGAGTTCTGCACATGTTTCATGATAAATACTTGTAGCTGACTACCTAAATATTCATAGTGGCTTTGCTTGTTCATCTGCACTCTCAATTTTCTTCTAGCCCCTAGGGAAGATGTTTTTCTGGTGGCTTGGATTTATTTATTTATTTATTTATTTATCTATTTATTTATTTTAGTTTTTGGCGGACACAACATCTTTGTATGTGGTGCTGAGGATTGAACCCGGGCCGCACGCATGCCAGGCGAGCGCGCTACCGCTTAAGCCACATCCCCAGCCCCTGGCTTGGATTTTAAAATAAACCTGAACATGGCTTCCTCACAGGCCCTTTAATCCTAGGTGAACTACTTAAGTCAGATAAATTCAGTGTCCTCATTTGATAGTAATTATCTCATAGAACTATTGAGAGACAGAGAGAGAGAGATGTTTATAAAGTGTTCATCACTGTCCTTGGCACTTAATGAGCACTCAACAAACGTTAGCTATTAATTATGTAGCAACCGTTCTACCCTGACATGTACTGTGTGGAGGCACTGTGCTCAGGAGTCAATAAATAAGGGGTGAATAAAACAGTCACTGTCCCTGCCTCATACAGCTTACCTTCTAGGGAGAAAAACATTGAATCAGTGCATGCACAAATAAATACAGTGTAAACTGTGTTAAGTTCAATGACGGGAAAGCAAAGTCTGCTATAAATGAGAGCATTAGGAGGACTGGATTTAGGGATACATCAGAGAAGGCCTTGGGATAATGTCACTGAGACCTCAAGGATGATAGGCCTCAGTGGGGGAAGGCTGCAGGACTATGGTGGGTGGGAAGGCTCTGAGGCTACAGGAAGTTTGGTGCTTTCAAGGAAATAGTTGTCATAGAGCTGAACTGTGGGCAACAGGTGTGGCGAGTGATGTGCAACAAGACGACAGATCTGGGTGGAGATCATCAGCCTCCTTCCAACCTCTGGGGAGTGTGTGCATAATTAAAATTTTCCTTATCCACTACCCTTACCCTATACTGAGAATCTGTCATTTGATGCAGTAACCATTGCAGTTCTATAATTTCTAACCTTTCTCAACAAAATTTTTCAACTGGGCAGGTGAGGGTGGAGCTAAGTAGAGGGAAGAGTTGCTAAGACTTTGCATTCTAAATGACCCTTAGTTGCCTTCTTTCCTTTACCCTCCATCCATCCCTGTAGATATCCCATTTATGAAACTGCTCCCCAAGATAACCAGCAAGCTTCTAATAGAACCCAACTACTTTCTCAGTCTCTCTTTACATGACACTGCTTGCTGCCATATTCCCCTTGGGCCTCACACCTTTTCTAGAATGTGGGGTAGTGCTGCTCAAAGTGGCCATCATGGATGCGACTGTGTGTCACTGTTACTAAAGACATATGTATGGAAACTGAGCAACCATTTAGAAACTGTGCGTGTATGTGCGTATGTATATGTGTATATGTGTATGTGTGTGTGTGTGTGTGTGTGTGTGGTACTAGGGATTGAACCTAGAGGCATGTACTTCTGAGGTACATTCTCAGTCTTTTCAATTTTTTTTTTTAATTTTATTTTGAAACAGGGTCTCACTAAGTTGAGTAGGTTGGCCTTGAACTTGTGCTCCTTCTGTCTCAGTCCCTTAATAGCAGGATCATAGGTGTGTACCACTGTGCCTGGCTTACTTTAATGTTTTCTATGATCTTTCCACATTTCTAAGAACAAGATGCTAATATAAGAGTTCAGGCATATTTTGCATTTGATTCCTGACATATAAAAGACAAGAACAATCCAAATAGCATTAGAAAATCCACCTTGAACTGGGCATGGTGGCTCATGCCTGTAATCCTGTTATCATGATGTGTTGGTAACAACGTGTGCAAGCAAAGGCTTTGGGAAGTTAGTTCTTCTAAAGCATTATTTCTATAATCTACACAAATGCCTTCAAGGAATTCTATCTTCACCTTTTGAGGTCCAGGTAGGTGAGTAGCTCCCTGAAGAGGAGAAACATGTTTAAGCCAATCAATCATTCAACCACTTAGCTAATTCTCTAAAAATATTTTTAAATTAGAAAAAAGTTTTAGCATCTTTATTAACTTTGAGAGAAAGGAAATTTCCAAAGGCTAATGAATGATAACCACATTCAAATTGGCTTCTTTTTAGTTTGAACATTTTCGACATTCATTCCCCATGCCACCCACATTTTTAATAAGTTCCTTCTGCGGGTCACAGCATGCTCAAAGCTTATAAGGCAAAGGCAAGAAATCCCCGAGTGGGGATGCCTGCAGCCTGGGAGGGTGTAACTTCTCAGCCTGTTGGCCTCCCAGGCCCTCCTATGATCATTTGGTAGTTGATACTCCAGTTTTAGAGGAGCTAGAATGACCTATTTTTTTTTTTTTCTGTTTTCTTTTTTGAGATAGGAATTGCTTCATTGCCCAAGCCAGTCTCTAACTTATGATCTTCTTGCTTCAGCCTCCCAGGCAGTTGGGATTACAGGTGTGTACTACCACACCCACCTCCAATGAACTCTGCTAAAGGCAGTTATAACCTATGTAATATCCAAATTTTAACAATCAATGACAAATACTGTGATTTTGAGTAGTATTTTCAATGTTACTGATGACTTTTCCATAGTTTTGAAAATGAAATGCTGACTGAAGAATGGGCAAGAACCACAAAATTAAAAGTCCAAAATGGAACTCAGATGGGAATCTGCTTTTGCAGATGAGAACCTCCTCCTCTTCCAGAGCTGCATCTCAGGAAGGCCACCAAAATATTTAGGCCTCAACCTGGAAGGCATAGTCTAAACCTCCCTCTCTCTCACCACCCACATCTCACGCATTAACCAGAGTTCTACCTCCAAAGCATCCCTGGAACCCACCCACTTCTCTCAATCCTACTGCAGTAACATTACAAGGTGACCACAAGCTCTTCCCCTACCTCTGACTTGGCAGCCCCTCGAGTCTCCAAGCTGTAGCCAGGAAGATGTCTTAAAGATGTAAATCTAATTCTTTCTAACTCTCTTAAAACCCTTCAGTGATTCCCACTGCCCTTAGGTAACAGGTCCCAATCCTTCCCCTGTCTACAAGGCTCTTCCAAAGCTGGCTCCAGGAGATCTCCAGGCCTCATCTCACACCCTTTAGTTCCTCTAACACACCCAAGGCTTTGTGCTGCAGGGCTTCCAACTATTTGTTCACTCAAACTGCACATCCATCTGTCATAATTCCCGTGGCACCTCACCAGAGGCCTGAGGATGGTTATACATAACTAGTTGTATACTTCTAATTATTACTAGTCTATAAGTTCCACGAGAACAGGGTCTTTATCTATCTTGTTCATTACCATGTTTCCATGTCTAACACTAAACAGGTTCACAGAAAATATCTGTTAGCTGAATAAGTGAATGAATATTTTAAAAGCTGGCTTTAAGGGCACATTTATCACTTTTAATTTATCTCTACTTTGGGTTTAAAAAAAAAAAAAGCAGCTATGGTCTTGAGTTAGTCAAATTTTTGGAGCAAACTTCCCTCAGAATTCTTTTTAGTAATGGCTCAAGTAAGCTTGGATAGCCTACGGCCTAGCCACCACTTCAAACCATTCTGCTAGGGCAGAGCCCACTTAAGCTGCCAGAATCTCTTTTTTTGCCTATCCATCCCAAGCTCTTCCCCAGGGCCCAACTGACCTCCCAGAAGGCCATTCATCCCACCAGGTGGTTCCCAGTAGGAGGCTCTTAGTTTACATTCTGTT